TTTATAATATCCATAAGTGTTTTTTTTCTGAATACTGATGAATGGTAATAAGATGCTCACTTTTCAGTTATAATTTTTGATAATTTGAGAAAATAATAAAAACTTGTTAATTTATAAAAATCAAAAACAAAAGAAATCAATTTTCATAAGCGAAGATATTTCAATGTTAAATATAGTATATTGCATACATTCAAAAAATACATAATATAAATGGAAGCTACATAAAATTTTATACTAAAAAAAGTGATTTTCTATTAATATACACGAGTATTTTTATTTGTAGAGCACAATATTGAAAATACTTATTTTCAAAAAACCATAGGTATGCACTAATTAATACAAGAATAACACACATCATCGAATTATTGTTGTTTGTCTTTCAATGATATTTATTTATTTTCTAGTTTTATAACAACTATCAATTTCTTAAATATTTTATAAATCGAAACTCTAGTTTATATCGTTGTCTATATAAATAAATGTTAATAAGCAGTAAATTTATTCTAATTTTGTAATGTATCATTCGACTAGAATAAATTTAATTGTCCATTTCCTCTAGCGATGTTCAACCATCGATATAAATTGAAGACAGGATATAACATACAAGCTGTTCTTCAATTAGCAAACTTAAAATCTTATATAAACGAGTATTCATAAAAAAGAAAAACAAACTCATTCTTTCAATGAAATCTTCTATTTAAAATTTAAATCTAAATCAATGAAATTTGTTCTTCAACAGTAGGATTTTTATTGATTGACAAAAATGATGTTAGTTTTATGATACATTTTGTAAAAATTTAAATGTTATTACTTTTTTATTCAACAAGTAAAATCGATTGTTTAAAAAAAACAATTCATGTTTCCATTTTCGTTAGTAATATATTTAAATAAAGCTTATTCTGGGTATTATTTGATCTCGTAAACTGATTTTCTTTTTTGTTCTAATCAGGCATTAAATTATTTGTTTTGAAAATAAAAAAAGGCGTTTCCTGAACATATAATGAGAATTTTATTCGATTGCATTTAGTACCTCTTCTTATTGATTTTGGATTCTAATGACTAGCAGAGTCGATACGTATGTGTGTACATTCGTGATTAAGAAGCTTAGCATCGTTAGTTGCGCATATATGTGCGTGTTCGTTATGTTTGTACATTTTGTCAATTAAGTAAAAGAGAAAAGCGAGCGCATACGATCGCCTTTTTTTTTTCTTGTTGTTACTGTAAAAAAAATCTCTTCCGCTAAATTGTAGTCTATCTTTTTTTTCTCTCTTGAAATATACGTACATGAATAAATATGGATTGGATCGGCGGTAGTATATATATATATATAAATGATGATGTTGATGATGATGAAGAGTTTATCGTGTAAGTGAAGCAAATGAAGTGTGTGGTGAATTCATCTTTGCTTTAAGAAAAAAAAATAGAATAGGAGAAAAAAAAGAAGTCACTCACGAACAGACGACAACGATCGATAATCTTATTTTGGTCGATTGATTGAAAAAAAAAAGAAAAATTATTGATATCCGGAGAGAGGAGAAAAAAAAAGACGTCGTACCATATGTAACAAACTCGATTTTGTTCGTTGTCGTCGTCACAAATCAACTTGATGTGTATGCCACTAGTCGACCGTACTGGCATTTATATACTACAATGGACTAAGAACAACATGAATTGGTCAGTTGGAATACAAATTATTGAGTAAGTTTTCTTTGGAAACTTTTATAAAAAAAAAAAAAGAAGAAACTCAAGGCAACATGATTGTATTCATCACATGCCCTTGATTAGATATAATGAACTATTAAGGCACGTGGTTATGAATACTATCATGTTAGCTGATAAACTACAAAATAAATATATTACAAATTTCTTTTTCTTTTTTCTATCTTATAGAATATTTAATTTATTTAAACTAAGCCAGTACTTTAAGATCCTGATCACCGATTAGAACTAGATAAAATAATAAAACGATGTTTTTTTTTTTTTCTTTTTTGATTATAATATTATATGATCGTTTTTGGATCTAATAAAAACAATTCAATAAATTATAACATATCTTTTAAAAAAAAATATTCAGTTGTTTTGTTTTATATGATGTATTCATTGAAGTAACCAAACAATTTGAAAATCAATTAAAAGGAAGTATAGATGATTGTTAGATATTTTCAAATCCTGCAAATCCTTTATCTTTACATTATATTTAACATGATTACTTGATAGACATGCATTATTTAGGCTTTGATACAAATCAAGATTTTCAATAATCGATATTATCATGAATGCAATTATAAATGATTTAAATAATCAGTGTAGACATTGTATTCGACGATCTAGACGTTTGATGAGATGCTAATGTCTTTCAAAGTTACCTGAGATTCTTACTGAATAAAATGATACTTCCAATTCTGATAGAAAAGAAAATTTTTCTTGTCAAAAATAAGATCTTTTTAAAACAAACATATAATCTACTATTGATGTGTTATTATAAACTTCTTCTTTGACAAAAAGAATGATATCCAACGAAATTTAAATGTAATATCAAGACAAACATAAATTCAGTTCGTTATTATAAAACTCAACGATTGACTATATGAGATCATGAAATATTGTCATGAGATGTATGCAAAAAGTGTCTCTATAAAATTTTCAAACATTCTTAGCGACTTTAATTGATAATTACTAATAATTTTCAATGATTGAGAGAATGTACATCTTCTGTATCTCGCAACATTTGTCTTTGTTTGGAGCTGCAATCAACAAAAGCAAAAAATAGAACTACACATTGAATAAAAAATACTATATTCGCTTGTTCTTCCATGGTTATTTCATAAATTTTTGATTAATTGATTTATAATATTGAAAAATAAAAAGCTAAAATTGAACATGTCTAAAGTGGTGGAAGTTTATAAAAAAAAATAGAACATCGTAGTTTCCAGGTCCCAGAAAACTTTGTCAGAGTTATCTTTTAATAATTCCATTTTAAAGAACACAACATTTTTGAACAAAATGAGTGGCTGCTACATTTTTTATGACTTTTCCCTAAAGAGTTAAAAGTATTGCAAAAAATCGATGGAAAAATGCCTTTTTTTCGGCTTTATGTAATGCTTTTAACTTTTTAAGAGAAGTTCATAGAAAATGCAACGACTCCTTCTTTTTATTCAGAATCTTGCGATCTTTAAAGTGACATTACTAAAAAATAGCTCCGATAAAGTTTTTTGACACTTGAAAACTACCGTGTCCAGTTTTTTTTTACATAAAATTTGCTATCATAGTTCATCTATAAAATTTTGATGTTGAATGTCTTATATGGATTTTTACTATAATTTAAAACTTGCATATGATTTAGATAATTGATCTGATCATTTCTTTCTCGTTCTATCGCAAGTACATACATTCTACTCGATCATTTATACCTTTACTGGAGACGTTTTGAGGCGATTCTTACGACGAGGTCGGGTGCGTTGAGATTAGCTCATCAGTAGACTTTTTATCTATCTTTTAGAAGCGAGGGTGTGAGTGTGGATGTAACAAGAGAACCACACCCTAGTTCAAACTTTCGTTTCTTTATTGATATAATAAAATTTTCATGATTAAAATAAAATATAATATGTATGCAATAAAGAAAACTATTATAAGTGAAATTTGTAAAAAGTATGGGCAATTTATTAGTTTTTGAATATGTCACGGGAATTTTTACACTTCGCTGGAAAATTTAACAAAGAAAAAAAAAACAAGAAAATAACTGTTTCATATACTGAAATATTTGAAGAATAAATTAAATAATTTCATTCTTTTTTGTTTTGTTCAGAGAATGAGAACTGTTCGATCTAAGAAAAATTTATGTTCGACGATCGATACGCTTCGTCTCGTATTATTACTATTGAATATTATAGAATCATTCAAAATGAAATATTCATCATTGATTGTTAATATTGTGTCCTGATAAGAACACATCGCCTGATGAGTAAAACGCATATGTTATACATCAACGATTAAAGACTTATATATCGACTCTTATTTTGCTTTCGATCGGCTGTATTACTCAGCATATTACTCTGTAAGTTTAAAACCTTAGAATGCGCTATGTTTTTAGTCGAACAATATTTTCGGCGAAAAGTACATTGCCGACTGAATATTTCGCCGAATGATCATTATTTTACTTTTTTTATTCTGTCGTCATGAAAATAAAATGTGGAAAATAAGATGGCTGAATAAATAAACGTTTTTTTTTTGTTTTTATTCTAGTACTGATAAAAATCAACTGTTTCTCTGATTTACATGTGTGTCTTCTTTTTCTCATCCTTTTATCCTTTGACATATATCTATTTCCTATGACTCAATGATGTAGTAAGGCGACGGCTAAACTTTTACTGATTCGTAAATTTTTTCAATTGAATACCAATATCATATGTAATTTTAAAAAAATGATTATTTTCTTCTGCATTTCTCGGCTGAAGGATGCTATAAGTAAAAGAATTTTCGGTAGTCTTTGTAATATTTTACTTCACATAGCTGAGTTTTACAGATGGCACAGAGATCTATCGAACTATGAATTCTGATATTCACGAGTTGTATTGATTTTGAATGAAGTAACAAAGAGAAAAGAACATAATCTTATCAATTTAGAAATTTTTTATGAGTATCAATTTTTTTTCTTTTTTCTACGTTGAAGTACTAGAAAATTTTTCCACCGAAGTTAATATAACTTTTCGATAGTAATCGTACAAAGATAAATATTGATTTTTTTTTGTTTATCTATTATTGACCAATACAATCTTTCTATCTTATTGATTTATAATGTTTTAGTGTACTGTTTTTGTTGAATGATTAGACGATTTATATACACGAAAGATAAGAATTCGTTTTTATACACATATGAACAAATTTCGACTTAGATAGTTTTGAGCATTGCATACATAAATTTGAAATACCATTGAGTGCCGTTTTCAGGATTAAATTGAAGATAATCGTAGCTAGTGCAGAATAGAATGGGCCTGTGCAATTCAAACATATATTCGAACAAAAGCCTTAACAACCGCTCGACAGAGTGGACAGACTTTTAAGCTATGACCACATGCTACGCAACTTGTTAAATGACCACAGGGTAAGCACGCCACTTGACGTTCTGTTGTAAGACAAAGTAAACATGGCATTGCTTCTTCGTCTGAAATATTTGGAAAAAAAAGATTGATAGATAGAAGAAAGTTCTTTTTAATAATCATACCTTTTTCTTGTATTATTTTAGGTCGTGTTACAATTGGTGACGAAGCTTTCGGAATTTCGATATCTTTATTAAAATTAATAAAAATGAAAATTTCATAATAGAAAATAATATATATATATACTTTTAATTTGTGGCTGTGAAGTTTGTGACTTTTGCACTTTGGACTGTTCCATATCTTGTTCTTGATCTTCGATATATTTTTTCATCCAATCTTGAGGAATAAGTAAATTATTTTCATTTCCATTGATTAATTTCACTTGTTGATGAAGCATAAGACAAGCCATTCGAAGATCATTATCACTTTGAAAATCATCATCTACAAAAGAACATATTAATTACATGTATGTTCAATTTTTTATTTTTTTTAATAAACTTACGTTTATTTTTGAGTTGAATTTCAAATGCTTTACTATAGAAAAGAAAAACATATAATATAGCATCTTAATCAGAAATCGTTATCAAATAACTTACCGAATAATTGCCATAGTAAAGCCTAATTTTCGAAGTTTTTCAACTATAGGTAAATCGAGACGAGCCTTGACCATTTTATCGATTTCATCATCTGTCCATGGAGTGATTGTTGAATCTTGACCATTCGTATTGCTCTTATTATTTTGCTGACCTATTGTCCAAAAAACAAAAATAATAAAAGCTACCCATTCTTAATGGTATCGATTTACATACTTTTCAATTCACGATTTTTTCTTTGTATAGCTTGATAAAGATCTTCTCCCACATACTGTCGAATATAAGCACACTCCGGATACCAACGACAGTGTTCCACTTTTGGATCATCACCATTTTGCCAATTACGCAAAGCTCCATTACAATAAAAACACTTTACAATAGTTTTCTCCCCTATATAAACAAAGAAAAACAAACAAATATTATTATTAATTTCATCAAAAAAAAAAAAATGTATATTTTCAAAATTGAACCTGTGTAAAAAAATCCTGCATCAACAAACGATTCAACAGAAGGTAATGGATCTTCTTTTGTAAGAGGCCAATTATGAAATGTTTCATTTCGACGATATGCTAATGAATAAGCAGTATTCATTGCTTCAACAATTGTTTGTGTATTGGGCTCAGTCGTAATTATTATATTTGTTGTAGATGAATTCGATGAATTTTTTTCTGTTAATAATACAAATGGACATTGAGGAGATTTTAATCGATGTAATTCATATGGTCGATCAGTTTTTATCCATTTATGAAAGAGTGTATTACAATGAATACATATCACACGATCTGCAATATTAGTATATGCCCATCCTGCAATAATCATATCTTGTGCCATAGGTGTAATTAATGGCCAATTCGAAAATGTATTTGTTCGTAGTGTAACGATTGTTTCATGTGTCATTGAATTAAGAAATGATTTTTGTAGACTGAAACTGTCGTCGTGAGCATTTTTATTATGATCGATTTCTTTTTGACGATTGAACTCGACAACATTGATCTGTAGACTATTTGATGTTAAATATGTTGTTCGTTGATCTAAATATATAAAGAAAGAATATTCAATTTGAATAAATTTATCAAAGAAAAAAAAAACAATACCATTTTTTGATAATAATTTCTCTTGATCTGAAACAAATTGACATTTAGAACTTTGTTTTATATGTTCTTCAATTGGATTGAAATTTGAT